TCATGTGTTCAATATTTTTTCCCTGTGCCATTCTACATTATTACAAATAACTTCATTTCTGGACATTTATGGTTTGATTTCTTTGTATTTATGGATCACTTGGGTTGTTACCAACAACTGGTGAAAATTTCATGTCATTAGCACCTCTAGTAATATATTTACTGAGAAAAATGGTGACGTGTTCAATACTTATTTTACCCACTGAATATTGGGGGTGGGGGGCCTTGAGTTTGACACGAGGTCTCTAGACTAACATATGAATGGACTGAAAACCTCTGTTGCAAACCTAAATGTTAGTAATCTAATGAAGTTCATTGTGTCTGTATGATCAAACTTAAAAAAAAGTTTTACGCTTTTTTAAGTTTTAAGACTAAATGTTAGTAGTTGGGCATTTCAACTTGTTGAGATATAATCCCCTTTTTTAGACATTAATACAAATTGTGTATTTTGAATTTCTAGAAGTGCAGAAATTTAGTGCTGCAAAGATGTATCTTTATATTGTGTTTGGGTCATATTTTTTCAACCCGTTCAGTTTTCTCTATGACATATTCTGAGCTATAACGCCAAATTATTTGCGATGGAACTTCTAAATAAGGTCTGGACTTACACTACAGTTTGTTTGTCTTCTTTCTCTTCTGACTCTAACATGTAAGACTGGGTGGACAAGTCTTCCATTGTTGATGTATTTTAATTTGTAAATAAAAAGTTTCTGCGATGCTAAATAGTCATAAACCCCTCTATCAAAATAGAATGGACCACTCTGGAAGCTGGAGAGGGGCAGGGTGCGAAGCGCCTTGTTTGGATTTAARGAGACAGCCTCAACAGTTGATTTGAGTCATACCTCCAAAAAGGGGCGGGGCTTGTGTAGTTACAATGGGGAGGAATTCAGACCAAAGCATTGCAGTTCCACTTTATATAGATGCCAACTGAATGATTTAAATATGAAGAAGGATATTAAAGCACATCTCCTTTAAGGATCTTTTATGACACATCAATGGGGTATCAGGCCTAAGGAGTTGGTTGTTCGAGCACTACGTTAAGAGAAAAGAAGAAAGTGCTTGGGGAAGACAACTCCTCTCATTATTCCATGTCCTCCTATAGCAGCYTTACTCCCCTCGAGAGCCAGCTGTCCATCACATTCCCGGGCACAAAGTCAGCACACTCATCAAACCTGCTAGTAGGCAGGAAGACAACACCTACAGAGCCCAAAGTCACTGCTAGTTGCAATTAAAGCGCCGCACCACTGTGGAGGAAAAGAACCAGAGGCCACCTGAAGGTCAGCCACAAACCCAATTACCAGCTCTTCATATATACTGTACTGACAGCCAGAGAAACTAAGTAGCAAAACAGCTCTGACTCCATTTTTCAAAGTCTGCAAAGAACTAAAAGACTGTGTTATTACAGCAACAAAAACCTGTAAACTTTTATTATATTTAACATTATTCTTATTGCTGGGACCAACAAGAAAATAGGTAAGATATGCACATGGCCACAGATCAGTCCATGTACAGAACTCTCATAACTAAATTGGAAAAAAAGTTATCTTTTTTTAAAAAAAAGAAAAATCACATTTACAAAATTAAATCTACAGGAACAGTTCAGTGGCAGTATTTCTTGCAAATTTTTCAAGAATTAGTTTTTTATTCTGAAGAAAACCTGTACAATCAACATTTCACAGTTTCGAGGTATATGGGCTTTATTACGCAGTTCTTTGGGACAGAAAGTGTTACTATACAGTAGTTTCATGTTTCCACAAACCAGTTTTTGTACTGTYGCWGTTACTTAAAGACATCGCCGCTCCGTTTTCTTTCAGCGCTCCACCRTTTTGGGTGACGAGGTTGAGCCCGTACAGCTTGTTCTCCAGCTCGGTGCCGCCRGGCCGCCGGACAGGACTGCAGTCTTTGCTGGCGCCGGACAATCCGGAGGAGACGGCCTGCTCTTTCCCCGCGGCTCCGTTCACCGACAGACCGCCGCTTCCTTTKTCGGAAGAGCGGGAGCGGCGCGGCAGGCTGGCGCTGTCGCTGCTGTCCTGCTGCCGCTGGCTCTGGTGGCGCTCCCTGTAGGCCATGTAGGCCGCCCGCCGGCTGTTGCGCGCGGCCACGTCGTAGTGGTGGTGCCGCCGGTGGGGGGCGCTCTGCACGCTGCCCTCCACGCTCGTGGGCACGTCGTAGGCGTACTCCCGCAGCACCGTTAGCCGACTCGCTCGGTGCGYTCGCGCTCGGTTCTTTAGGTGCCGGCCCGCGTGTCCGTTAGCCGCGGGGACGTTCGCCGGATGGAACTGCACCTCCACCGGCGCCACGTGCATTTTTATTTCGTTATCTAAAGAATGCTCCGTCAGGCTGCTGTCCAAAACGGCCGCGCCATTGGCTGGCGCCGGGGTCGACTTGCACTGAGCTGCCTCTGCGTGCAGATTGGTCAGCTTGTTGCCGTGGGTGGAGGTACGTGTGCTCGGGCCGCTCTTGTTCGTGTAGGAAGAGCCGGCGCTGCTTTGACCGCCCTTGGTCGACTCCCCGTCTGCCTTGGTGTYGGACACAGCCGTGGACGTCGTGGCCATGCCTGGCAGGGGCAGGAGAATGTCCTCCTGAGCGGAGTAGGCTCGCCTTCCGGAGCAGCACGCCTGTGACCACAAGCGCCTCATGTCCTGCCTGTTCACACAGTGATGGGCCGCCATGAAYGCCCCCAAGGCCAGCGCCGTCGCCCCGTAAAGGCAGGTAAAAGCCAAGTCGTACGGGTGCTCCTGCGAYACAGCCACGGCGCCAAACGCCCAGAGGGCTGCGTACAGTCCTAAAGCTCCTCCGGCACCCATCAGCTGGGCGGCGAAGGTGTGCTCGTTCTCCAGGGCTGACAGGGGCACGGCATGAGGGGCCRACGCGACGGAAGAGGACGCCTCGTTTGGCTGGAGCTGCAGGGCGAGGGGTTGACAGTGGCCGCCGGGTCCGTCAGGCCCCGCCTCGCCGCTGACCGAAGCCAGAGGTTGTTGCTCCTCCGTCGGCTCCTTTAGCTCGTAACGACGCTCRGGGTGTCGGCGCAGCTGCAGCAGGATGCTCAGGAAGTACATGCAGTCCACAAAGACGATAAATCCCGCTGGGCCATAAAAGGCCCCGATACTCGGCTCCCATCCCATCCAGCAACTAGAAGCAAAGAGACGACAAAGATCAGCTAAATGTTTATTGCATGAAACAAAACAAATTTTCCATTTTAAGGGATCCCTGATTAGTTGTAACGTTAGACTTTATTTGATAAACATTTATTTTAACTGTAAAATAAAGACTGTAAAAATACTGTAGGCTGTTTAGTTTTGCAAATGTTTAAAAATATATTGTAACACAGATGGAGCCATTTTAATTTACACACAAAGCATTCTGGGTAAATGATGATGTGTTTAGGTCCTCGGTGTGAGCGAGCTATATCTACCCTGAAGGTTAATCTTGGACAATATCCGATGATCGACTCTTTTAAATGAAACCAGAGAGCGYTGACAGAGAGGAGAAGGTAGAAATGACTCAGCCTGTAACTGAAAATATAGATGGAGGACAACAGAGCTGCTTCATGGAAGAAGAACCTCAGCTTAGCCTGTTAGCCTTTGCGCTAGCACCGATGCTATTTTGCCTTATATGTATTAGCTCAGTGCTAGTGTGACAAACAAGCTAAACTGAGGTCCTCCATCCRTATTTTCAGTTACAGACTGAGTCATTTCTACCTTCTCCTCTCTGTCAACGCTCTCTGGTTTCATTTAAAAGAGTCGATCATCAGATATTGTCCAAGATTAAACTTCAGGGTGGATATAGCTCGCTAGCAGCCTCTCACCGAGGACCTATCCACATCATCATTTACCCAGAATGCTTTGTGTGTAAATAAAATAGCCCCATCCTTGTAATATATTTTTAAACTTTTAGTTAAAAAATGATAAAAACTGAACATCCTACAGTATTTTTAGTCTTTATTTTACATTTARAATATATGTTTATTAACTAAAGTCTAATGTTACAACTAATCATGGGTCCCTTTAACAAAGACAAAATTTCCCCATTTGGAAGAAATTAATTAAACTCCAAAGACTCCAGGACTTATTGTTTTTTAATAGTCAGCAACAATGAGATGGAAACAGCTGCCACTGCAGAGGAAGCTGCAGGAGTGCTTTATAAACTGACAGCAGTGACTTGGTGCTTGAATGCACATATCATKAATAAGCCTCTATAATCACAACTTCAGGGAATAAATTTCTCCAGGGCTAATAAAAATAGTCATTCACTAATGTAATGCAGTACGGTYGGTCTTATACAACCCTATTAAACCAAAGATCTGTTAAAAACAACAACAACAAAGACTTTGAGGTTTAAAATGGTTCATTCTTAAATGCTAACGGCGTTCGTATTTCCATTATTGTGCATACTCACTATGGTGCATTTGTCTGACTACCGTAGTTTTTGATGTTGGCTGCCGCAGTGATCCCACAGACGATGATGGGGATCCCTCCGCCGATTAGGTAGAACCTAAAACCAACAGTTCAGCTTTAATGYAGTCTCTTCTCACATGAATATTTGGACAGGAGTAGAAAATAGTTTTCAGGCTCTATGCTGACACCGTGTGGCAGCTGGGAGCCAAACAACCACTGAAAATGAGGGGTGAGAAAATCGAACCTGAGCATCGGCCTCGGCGGTGGCGGTGGCTCGTCCAGCTCCACGTAGCACTTGGCCTTGCGTGTCACCTGCTTGTATATGTTACGTGCCGTCACGCCGACCCACAGGGCCGTAGCCAGAGTGGAATAATGCATCAAAATGCCCACCTAAACAAAGAGATTAGACTACGTTGTGATTTTTTTGGACCATGAAACTTTTATCGTTTCCTCGGGGAGTGGGTAAAGGCGCTGTGTGTACTCACCGCTTGGCAGACGCTCGCGTTGCGCGTCTGATTGATGCCGCCTACGAAAACCCCGCATGTGAGGGAGATGTGGAAGCAGAGATTGACGAGCATGTGCCAAAACTTGCGGCTCACACGAACAGACCTGCGGTCAGAGAGGAGATGCAAAATCTGTGAGCGTCTGWGGCGAGAAAGCAAAGTTAAAACCTGCATGTTTCTATGACAAACCAGCACAAACATTGACAAAATCTATTAATGTCCTACCTGTGATGGTAAGTGTAGCTGATTAGAACGCTGAGCAAGCAGAGGAGCAGTAAGACACTTGTTGCGTAGATGACTGGATGCAACGGTTGGATGCTTGGAGAGAAGTGGTCAACGCTGCTGAGGTCCTGCAGCGGAGGTAAAGAGATTTTCATTCGACTCATTTTGTCTGCTTTAAATATCACCGATGGTGGAAATAATGGCCACTAGAGGGTGAATATAATATACAAAACTAATTTTGCATTTTGGAGAGAACAGCACCCACCATGAGCAAGCCGTAGTTGCCCAGAGAGTTGCAGGAGATGGTGGTGAAATTGTCCTGATGCTCCAGGATGCGGCAGCCCTCGCTCCTCCACCCGCCCTGGCCCTCCGCCAGGCTGAAGTTCCAGCCGGCTGGCACGGCGTCCGAACCGTGAGCGAACCGCCGCAGGGTGACATTGACGGGGCTCCTCAGGACRCGCTGGGGCAAACCGTCTGAGAGGAAACGTGAAAGCGGGAAAGTTGATTTTATTTTTATTTTTTTTACAATGAAGATGTTAAAAGGGATCCACGATTAGTTGTAACATTAGACTTTATTTAATAAACATATATTTTAACTGTAAAATAAAGACTGTAAAAATACTGTAGGCTAGGCATGGGTGATAAACCGAAAAACAACCTATACTGACATTTATTTTTAAAATAAAAGTATATTACACGGACGGGGCCATTGTATTTACATGCAAAGCATTCTGGGTAAATGATGACATGGATAGGTCCTTGGTACGAGGTTGCTAGCGAGCTATATCCACCCTGAAGGTTAATCTTGGACAATATCKGATGAYCGACTCTTTTAAATGAAACCAGAGAGCGTTGACAGAGAGGAGAAGGTAGAAATGACTCAGCCTGTAACTGAAAATATAGATGGAGGACCTCTGTTTGGCTTGTTTGTCGCGCTAGCGCCGAGCTAATACATATAAGGCAATATAGCGTCTGCGCTAGTGCGAAGGCTAACAGGCTAAGCTGAGGTTCTTCTTCCATGAAGCAGCTCTGTTGTCCTCCATCCATATTTTCAGTTACAGGCTGAGTCATTTCTACCTTCTCCTCTCTGTCAACGCTCTCTGGTTTCATTTAAAAGAGCCGATCGTCAGATATTGTCCAAGATTAACCTTCAGGGTGGATATAGCTCGCTAAAAGCCTTGCACCGATGACCTACTCACGTCATCATTTACTCAGAATGCTTTGTGTGTAAATAAAATGTCTCTGTCCGTGTTAAAATATATTTTTTAAAATTTATAAAACTAAACAGCCTACATTATTTTTTACAGTCTTTATTTTACATTTAAAATATATGTTTATCAAATAAAGTCTAATGTTACAACTAATCRGGGATCCCTTTAAAAAGATGAGCTTGATTAAAGACATTATTTGATAAATGATMAAATTATGACGTTTAATAGGTGCTCCAGTAAGAGGCTGAAAGCTGTATCCACCCATCTCTTGGATAATACCTGACGATCAGACCATCACTCAAATCATTTTCATTGATTAAAAAAAAAAACTAACTACACGACGTACCAATCTTTGCCATAATAACAGGTGTGGCCACACTCCTCCGCTTCCCACCGTCAGCCAGGAGGGAGGTGTTCCCAGTGGAGGGGAAGAACTTGCCACTGCGGAAGCCCAACAGGTGCAGCTTGTAGACGGCTTCGTCTCCCGGCCCGGGAAGAACCGCTTGGCTGAACAGAGACTCTGGGAGCTGCAAGGAAGCCTCTATGGTGCTCTAATCACAAAACCAAAAACAGAGAAAAAAAAATTCTAATAACTCTCAGAACAATTTTTTTTCCTGGTTTTCTTCTGGYCGAGAAAAGCTCATGCGGAAAATATCTGTTGAAGCGGACCTTGTAGACGACGGTGGAGTTGGTGTTGCATTTGAACGTGAGTTGGCGGTCCTGGCCGGGGGTCCGCTCGGGGGTGGGCCTCTGGAGCAACATGCAGGTCATGCCATTCCAGTCGTTAGCCCGGACAGCGTGGGCCTCCAGGGCAATGTTGGGGGACATCTGGGGTGGGGGAAAAAACTAAGGGGTTGGAAGGTTTGCATCGAACAAAACTCGCTAAGAGAACACGCGGTGTACGAGGTCTAACCAGAGAGAAGGCCTGCGCCGTGGCCAGGCGGTACGTGGCGATCCGCTGGAGACAGGCGATGATGCGGGAGCAGGCCGTGGCTTCGCGCTGGGCCATCCACAGAACTCGCTCATCAGCCAGCATCAAGTTACTGGCCATGCTAACCATCACCTCACCCAACTGGGGAAACAAAGAAGAGAGGAAAGATGTTTTTCCTGACAGCCATGTTGGAAGAATATCTCAGGGCATTTTTTCTTATAGCACAGTCAGCAATCTTGGTCAAACAGTTTCGTGCAAACATCAAAATTCTCTTGAGAACTCTAACGTGTTTGTAAGCAGATTAAATAGATGCAAACATTGGATTCAGTTTTAATCTTTTTCCCAAAAGCGTGCATTTTCTGTTTGGTTCTGGCAAAAAAAACACTAATTTTCCAAACCTAATAAAGAAAGCCTGAGTAATTTCCATTTTTTTTCCAAACAAAGTTTAATACATGTGAAAGGATTAGTTAGACTGAACATCAAGACCGGGTCTGATTTAGATTAAAAAAAAACTGTTTCTGTCCCTGGTATCAAGTGACAAATGTTCCCATCAAACAAAAAACTGGATTGTCAATGTAAACAATTAGGCCAAGGAAATCCTTACATCTTTTATCTTCTCAACAAACTTTCCAAACTTCTCAATCATCTCAGCCACGAAGATGATGTCCATCTTGTCGGAGAAGTTGACCGCATCGATGGTGTAGAGCAGCAAGCGCCGCGCTATGTTCACAACGTTGCTCTCGTTCAGAGGCATCTAAAAAGAACGGGAAGTTGGTTAAGCTGTACGAGGCTTAGAGAGAGACAAGAGAAAACCATACGAAGCACMCTTAAGACCAAGAATCAGATATGAACCTGGTTGATGACATAGAGAAATCTGGTGGCGTCTTTCTGAAACTGACAGAGGGAGTAGTCGTCCTTGGTCCACAGCCCCTCGCTGCTGCAGGAGCGCCATGCCTGCCGTCCCTCGGCAGAACCGCCCGAGTAGGCGCCTGCGCTGGATGGCAGCCTGTTGCAGGGGAGGTAGGCCCTGATCCCTGCCAAGGTGCGGGGCCATCTACGAGGGTTCAAATAAGTCTGGTATCAATAATCCATGAGATCCTTTTATCCTCTTACCTAAAGGTTATACCAACCAACTTTGCTGAACAATAAATTGTCTCAAATTTTAAACTGATATAATGATCCCACCCCGGATTACAAAGCTTACAGACAATTGTGAAATTAAGTATGTAAAAAAAAAATGTTAACTTGTCTGATCCAAAATGTTTCCAAAGTTCTGATGAGGGTTAGATGGAGAAGTTTAGCTCCTCTTCATCGTCTCCCAGTAAAACAAAAAGTTTCAAAAGCTTCACAAAGTTTCATCCTTCAGTACTAAAGATCTAATTGTTCCACTGTGTCCTAACAGAGCACTGCGTTCTCAGACTGCAGGTTCACTTATGACTCTTAAAGTTTCTAAAATACAAGACAGAGCTTTCAGTGATCAGACTCCTCTTCTTTTAGAACCAACCTCCAATTTCTGTTTACCGTCTCCTTTTCAACTGGGATTAAGACTTGACTTTTTGATAAATCCTATAGTTAGGGTTGGCTTTGTTTCCTGAGCTATCCTAGTCTGCTGGAGGACAAACTGAGCACGTTTCCTCACTCTGCTGCTGTCTTCACACGCTCTCTTTCCATGTTTGACTTTGTGATTATAGGAGTCATTAATCTGTGTTTTACTTTATCTTTCCATAGAAACTACACCTGGACCAACTGCTGCCGTTTTGTTTCGGGTCTCTTTCCTGTCCTCTRCCCAGCCTGAGCCTGGTTATGATGGTGGTTTCTTCCTGTTAAAAGGGAGGKTTTACTCTACTGTTGCCATCGTGCTGCTCAGAATGGGGGTGTGCAATAAAGTGAAGGTTCAAGACAATCTGCTGGATTACCAAGGTAGGTAACTTGTGCTAACTGACATTTCATCATACATGTGAATGTATAATAAAAGGAATGCGATGGCTGTGATTAGATTTGATTCTGGGTTAGAATTCGATGTTGGTCTTTAAACTTTTCTTGTGTGTTACAATGCTGCATCATTTTTACATTTGACCACAAGGTGGCGGTGCTTACACAAGAAAAAAGCAGCACCAGCACAGAAAGAAATAAGTTTTTCACCTTTTTAATAAAGCTGATTGTTTGGCGTAAACTTAATATTGATCCAATAATATTTTGTGATGGCTACAACTCCTACCTTTGGCTACAAAATGAACCAAAACCTTAATAAATTATTAAGTTGAAATTTAGAAACTTTGCAAGACAGGTGCAAATAAAAGACRTTAACTGACACAACACAAGTTGGTTAACTCTGTCTGCTTATACCTGAACTCTCCCTTGTTGTTGGAGATGCGTTCAGGAGCGCAGTACTTGGCAGAACTCTGCAGCACCACGATGTGAACGGTCCTGGTGGTATTTCCCCTGCTTGTCCGGACACGACACTCCCAGTTCCCCGTAAAACCAGGCTGAATGTTCGAGATGGTCAAAGCGCTGGGGGGGGAAGGGAGACAAAATTCAGAGTTAGGTTTACAGCTCAAATCAACGGCATGCAATGATGCAAACGGGAAGCGCGTCGCACCTAGCGATCAGGGAGCAGTTCTGCATGACRCGCTTTTCAATGAAGATGCCTTGTGTGGCGTCAGGCTGGACCATGCGGCCGTTTTGGTACCAGAGCACCTGCATGTCTTCAGACACCAGGGAGGCTTGGCACTGGAAAGGGAGGCTGTCCCCCTGAAAGACCACCTGACGCTGGGATGGAGTGAGCTGGAAGGACGGCAGCTCCAGCGGAGCATCTGGAACAAACAAAAAGGCAAATGTCGGTAAACCTGTCGCAACAAATCAACTCATCGCACGATAACTTCAAATGAGGTCCTGCTTGTTTGTTTTCTTCGTGTCTTTATCGTCCAGCAAAATTTGTTATTGTGACAAGCCTAAAYGTCAGTAGATCACAAAGAATTTTAAGTACAGTTAGATTTTATTCACACTGTTGGACAACTAAAATATGCCAAAAATGCATCCAGATTTCTGTACACTTTTGTGCTGTTTGTCATTCAAGTCAGGCATTCCTTGTAAATCTACGCCGTGTGTTTTAGAATCCCTCAAGGAGACGAGTGCCAAACTGATAACACACAAGCAAGTACAAACAAAGGCAGCACTGGCCTGGGCAGACCCCGTCTTATCTCTGCATGTCATTGCACAGCCCCCTGCTCTCCAAACACGGGCCGCACTGATACCCAAACAGACAAATTAAAGAGACAGCGCTCCTTTTTGGCAGTGAAATCTGCACAGCTTAGTCAAACGAACGCTTCTGCGGGTAAAAAAAATGTCAGAACGTTTCCTATAAATAATGAAGAAGTGCATTTGGGAGCTGAAAGAGTTGCAGTTTCGGGGTGACGTCTTTGTGCCGTGTCAAATCTGTGGGTGTATCCGGGCTCATTTTTTATTCCTACCGCAGGTGAGGAGCTCTGGCCTGATGAAAGTTATGAGCTGTCCCTGGAGAGACTGAGGGTAGGAGCACTTCGTGTTCTTCACAGCAACGTTTTTGTCTTTGATCCAACGCAGAAGCCACAGGAGGTTGCAGTCACAAAGCAGATATGGTGTCTGAAACTCTCTGGAGACGGAAAATAAATACTTGACTGGTAGAAGATTTTATGCAATATTAAAAGGTTTAAACACAGATTTAATCACATTAGTTAGTGTGTGACTGAAACAAACCATTTCCCTAACGTACTTACAGCGACTTCAGAGACACCAGCCTGTCAAATGTGCCCTGGGCTAAGGAAGAGAACAAGTTTCCTGAAAGATTACTGTGGAAAAAAAAAAGAAAAAAAAGTGCTATTTAGGTTCACCACTAAGATATAAATAAATTCAWCTCATGACTAGAGATGCCTCAGCTCACTTACTAATAGCTGGAATTGTTCGATTTTCAGCTTGGTGGTGACCAAATGATTCGACACTAAAAACATCTTTTTTTTTTTGTCAGTGCATTTTTATATTACCTATAAGCTGAAGTACAGCCAAACATTTAATCAACCAGGAATGAGCAGCAAATGGTATGGAAACCATCAGCTAAAATCAAAACCAGCTATTTGGTATCGGATTGTTTATGGTTTGTTTACTATGGAAACAATAATTTTCTCCTGTAGATTTTAGTATGACAAATTTGATAAGACATGGGATAAATGGAAAACATACATTATGTTAAAGCGTCCAAATTTTGTGTAATCCTCTGTAATATTTGTACTTTGTTTTGTCCCATTCGTTAAAAATAAAATCTAAAAAAAACGTTATTACTGTATATGAAATTTACAAACAAAACAAAAAATAATTTGATAAATTAAAAAATCAAAACCAAAAAGGTCAGAAGTTCCCAAAAATGTGTATTGGTTGTAGGGTTGGGCATAATCGTATTGTGTGCGATTAATCGTCAGAAAAACATTAATCGATTATTTTTTGGCACTTGACGATTTATACGATGAATGCCACCAGGCAGAGTCCGCTCGCTGCTCCTCTCAGCTTCAAATATGATGAACATTGAAAAGAAAGTTCTGTAATTTATTTATCTATCAACACAATTTAAAATTAGATGTATAGCCTGAAGTCTGTAATTTTGACACAGTTTGGAACAGATTTTTATGGTGAGCAAATCTTTCCCACTAAATTGGTCATGTGACCAGGACATGAGGGTGCCCAGGGACTCCAGGGGGATTAATCGTCAAATTAATCGCTATCGGCTAAATACCACAATTAATCGTGATRAATTTATTTGCCAATATTGCCCAACCCTAATTGGTTGATGAATTTCTAGACTTACAGTCGGGTCAAACTGTCAAGGCCCTTGAAGATGTCTCCGTAAAGACAGCCAATGCTGTTGTTGGACAAATCTCTGCAACACACACAAAATGCCACAAAGGTTTATTTGTAGTTCTTATGAGGATTAGAAATGTTTTCAGCAAAATAAACTAAATAAGCCAGGTTCTATTAAGATAACAAAAGATTTACAAAAGAGGTTAGGTTTAAAGAAGCAGCTGATTTAAAAGGAATAAAGTTGAAGAGGCAGGTTGAGGCAGAGATCTCTAAAATTTCAGCTGACAGCTTTACAACTTTCAAGATGGTATTAGATAATGTCTGTGTGGGCCTGCAGGCGATCCGACACATAAAAAGGCAGCGCATCGCTGTGGGAGGTGATTAATCACCTCTGATTACTGTCAAAGGCATCAAAAGTGTCGGCTTTCACTCTGGATGCGACCTGACATGATGTCTCTGGAAAACATCACAGAGAAGTGTCCAACACGCCAAACCGCCTTTCAGAAGGAATCAAGCATAAATCCAGGGTTAAACACTGAAAATGATTGATGCTGCCACTGCCAGTTACTGTATGCACAACATGTAAAAGTGCCTGGAAAGAATAAATATTAACTGGAGGCTCTACAACTTCCTCTGGAGTCATCAACGCAGGGACATGTCAACCACACACAGACAGAAAATAAATCGATTTAAACCTAAGGGCTTACTGAGGAGCTTTTGGAGTTATCATTCACAAATATAACTATCCAAATAAAAAAAAAAATCACATGTGTAAACAAAAGCAACAAGATATGTCTATATCATCTGCAAAACCTCCAAGAAATAAACTGATGTGCAAGATATGAAGAGCATGAAAAAAACRGGAGTCTTCCTYGACGCAAGTCTAATGGATAACCAAACAAAGACACGTTTTCTTATTTACGCTGTATCTCAATTCAGAGGTTATATCCCACGCAGGGAAAATTTGTAAGGCTGTCCCAATACGTAGGCGGCTACTCATGAGGCCGACAAAACCTTGAAAACATAAGCTGCAACAGAGTCAGCCGACGATTCATTGCGCCATCAGTTGACTACGTAAAAAAGGAAGACGGTAGAGTTTTTGGGTTTCTTTTTATGATGTAGATTGGAAATTCATCACAAACCAAAGTATTTGTTTTTAAATTTATTTTTAACAGTTTACCTGATGAAATTTTTACTGCAATGAGATGTTAAATACAATGCAATTAGAAGTAATGATACTGGAACAAAACCCAAATTATTTAAGTTTTTTATTTTATTTACGTGTATATTTTTTAATAACACTGAATTCTKTGAAGTTATACCCCTCGTGAAAAGAACACTGAAGGCATGCAATATAAAACACCATGGTAATAGGATAATACATGGTCAAGCAAACATATGTCATTGAAAACTAGACTAGACCGTCTCATTTCTCAGCCATTATGCAGCCTACACAGATGGCCTATAACCCACGTAGGATATGGCCTACGTGGGCTGCGGTCTATGTGGGCTGCAACCCCTGAATTGAGTCACAGCTCTTGTATTTCAAGCTTAGAAAACAATTCTTCCTGAAGAAGAACATACYGGTGTGCTACATTAGCTAATATTAAACCTCTACACTTTTGCATGACATGRATTGTTCAGTTTGTCACGCTTTTCTCAACTGCATGGAACTAATCTGCAMTAATACCAATAAAATACCACAAAGTTTAGTCAGAAGTGCATTTGCTGGAAACTAAATCCAAGTAAACTCGACAAATACTCAAAAAAAAGTTTTAATTAATAAATCACATTTACAGTCACAATAGCGTCAACATTCCCATGGAGATAACATTTTAATCAACTATTCACCGTGATCCAAGAATAAAAAATCTATCATGTCAGCTGTGAGAAATATTCCTCYGAGAGTTATCCAAGGATTGAAACAAGAGCCTGGGAGACAAGAGACAACATTACTTCAACCCAACCCACCAGCTATGTTTCACCCAGAGGTGATTGAGGAATGTGATACTAACTTAAGGTGATACTTAAAAAAAGGACTGGTGGTCATAGACCAATTTTCAAGCATATATCACATTTTTGGCGTTTGTCCTTAAGGGATCAGATGGGGAATTCACTCCATGAGGTTATTAGTTCCACTTGAAGGAGAAGAAATAACAGTCTTTTGCAGGCTTGCCAGTTTCAGCTAGCATTGTTTGCCATGGGAAGCAAAGAGGTAAAGGCAGGAGCCTTTTTTTAAAGCTGAAGTCTACTGTCATTTTATCAACTGGTTTCAAATCCTACAGTAAYAGAAAGTCCTTCAGTGTTGTGTTGTGACTGTTCAGTCACCCTGTTTGGTATTTTTATGTTTATAATACACAAAAAAATTAATCCATTTTCATCAAATAAGTTTCAAACAAGACTGTTATAAACAGCGCGAAGGAATGCTTTAAGTCTGTAATATATGACAAGCGGAAGTAAAAATAGCTTTACGTGATTAGGTTCGAGCAGAGACCATGCAGCTGTTGGAGGAATGCCGAGGCCAGAAGAATCCAGTGTGTTGTGCAGCCTAAAACTAAGGGTGTTAAAACAGACATCCCTATTTGTGGCAACTGCCTCTGTCAGCTAAGGCTAATGCTCCCCTTTACACTGGATGATGACGAACCCACTACAGCATAAAAAGATCAGCCAAAATGTGAATGATCTTTGTAGGGTTTTGGCGAGGTAGGCACATATTAAGAACACAGTAAGCTTCACATTATGCCTGATAGTGTGGTAGGTCCAATGTCATTCTGAGCATGGACAAAACTTTTGTAGCCAAGTTCTGAAGGAAGCTTGGTGGCAGGATATTATTTGCATGGGACTTGGATGAACTGACGTGACTTTATTGAAAATTTGAACCAGAACTGGCCTTACCTTCTTAAGGAGTGTCACAGTTGCTGCAGAAGTACAAACTAGATAAATAAACAAATCAAGAATTACYGATTATAGGGCTGGGCGATATGGCAGAAAAAAATGCAGCACTTGTATGTGTCTCAATAATTATCGATGAGTTTTTTGTTCTGTTTGAAATAAAGACCAGAAGAAAATAGGCTGATTAATACTGCCAAACTGGTGACGTAGCCTTTCCTCTTGTATCCACAATTTCCTCTCCAGCTGTTTCACTCATTTTCTCCTTTCACTCCAAGTCATTCTTTTTGATTTTTAAGCAGTAATCAAGCACGATGGCGAAACATGGAACTGTTGCTGTGCATGCTACTCAACAGGTTGTTGCTAACTTACTAAAGAGTGAGGAAGTTAACTGATGCCACCAATAGCTGAGCTTTAGCCGCTGGGTAGCGATTTAACAGTTTCAGTAGCTGTTGTTACGATCTCCGGACCCAGTCTTTAACTTTTTTCCCTTTGTTAAATTTGTAAATTTCCATAAACTTTGTAAGCAGCATGGGGCTAACCACATTTACCAGTGGAAGACACATAAAGAATAAATTGCACCTGTGTGGATAGAGTTCGTCTGTAATTTTTATTTCCATACATACATTTTATGAACATCTGCAAATGAAATGATCTTTCAGACATATTTTCTATTGATAATGATTACATGTCTACAGCGATATTTAACATTATTTTTTTATCGTCTGGCCCTAACTGATAAGTTGTCAGCTTTGATGGGAAAAACTAAAGACTTGCTAGAATAAAATTTAAAATAAAATAGAGGCTTGGGGAATTATGTGCATAATTGTAAAAGATTTCCACTGTTTTATGTCTTCACAAAACTTGGAAAACTTTGTGACTTATAAGCTCATTTAATCATTCCTTGTGCTCATTTTCCTACTTTCAATTTCCAGAAAAGTAGCGCAAATGTGTGGTTTACAGTGCATGATGTGGAGCTTCTGTGTTTGCATTCCTAAGGGGAACACTTGTTTGTTTTTCCTCCCTGTCCTTTTAAATTAACTGAGATGGGTGTCTTTTCTCAGGCAAAACCAAACTGCACCTTCAACAAGTACTTCCATGTGAGGTCTCGGGTCTCTAGTGATGAAAAAAGGGGGGAAGATTTTGGCATCTTGGATCTGAGTTTAGCACGAATGTACACGGATGAAGAGGAGGAGGGAGACAAGGCTTGATCTGAGCAGAGAAGCTGACTGCCTTCCTGTCGGGCTCTTGCTGTTCCACAGCAACGGCCAAGTTCAAGTTTATGTTGGCAGTGACTGAGTGCTGTCAGGTGACTCCAATTCAAGCTGTTCTCTTGCTCTCTCTCGCTCTCTCTCATCCACGTGTTTGCAAAGGGAAACAGCTCGACGCTCCGAGATAACCAGCAGTTGAGCTTCATGGGTTCCACATATCAAAACGATCCGCAACTAATACTTGTAGACATACATCCCCTTCCTTTCCCSTCTCAAGAGTGTGTGAAAATATTTAAGGCCTCAYGCTGACGGCAGCAGTCTTTGGTGCATGGCCAAGTCAAACATGAGTAGAAACAGACAGCTGCTTGAACCGTGCTTTCCTTATGGAAACTAGATCCTCTATGTGGGATCTTACAAAGATGGACCTGAATCAATAGCTGCTTTACTCAGTTTAACAAACTATATATATATAGTTTTTTTAATCAGCATTTGAAGGTATCACACTGAAAAAAATTGAAAATAAAGACAATTTAAATAAAACAATCAACAACAAAGCTACAGTTTTATCAAAAAGGTGGCAAAATTTTACAAACATAGAATGAATACTCACAGTTTTTTTAGTGCTGGCAAGCCCAGAAAAGCGCCAGGCTCAATACGACTGATCATGTTACTCCGCAGGTCCCTGTGGGGAGAGAAACATATTTTAGGTAAGGAGTGATTCAAAAATCAGCGAGATAACACGAACATCTGCTAATTATTTATTTCAGTCATTCTTTTGGGGAGAAAATATATACCGGTATTCTTCCCCAAACCTTGAAGCGGATCAATTTTTTTTGTGGTGCGGTTTAGTAAAAAGGTTGGGAACAATTTATTTCTTACCTGTTGTAGATAACGTTTTAAACAACCTCAGTTAAGAAAAAAATTTAAATTCAACAAGACTAATGAGCTAACAGGCAGATCCTATACTAAACTAAATAMAAGTCTTGTAATAGATTTTGTCGTATTGGCTTTAACTGTAAAACTCAGTTTTKCCAAACTCTTGATTTTACCAATGTTATTTTTATAGGTCAGGTCAGGCTTATGAAATATGAGCAGATGTGGGTTCAGTATCACTTTGACTAAACTTTGAAAACTCTAGTTATGTTCACAGAAACAGACCCTTATAATTGCATGGTTCAGAAAAGAGCATCTTTCACTTTTGGATCCAACAAAAACTCCCAGACCAGCACCAAACCCAATCACCTATCATCACTGTAGAACTGCTGCCACGACCCAAAACCCACAAAGGATTCCTCTGCTCCTCACACAAATGCACACAGACAACCCCCGCTCTCCTGAAGTTCAAAAGGTTTGTGGTCAGAGGATTCCTGCGGTGCTCACCTGCACCGGCACTGCATCGTCACTCAATATGGTGGAAGTTCAAGAGGCTTTGTATTCACCACCTGAAGCCACACAAAGCCCCAGTTGGTAACTCTGCCCGTTTGAAGTGGAGAAACTGTCATCTATAGGTGGGTTCGTGGCCACGGAGAAGCCACAGACAATATCTATTGCTTGTTGAAACTTTTGAAGTGAGCCAGCAGCTTCCCTGTGAGATGGTGCTGAGAGAGAAATGAGGAGGCTGGACAAAAAAAGTCAGAAATATCCTTCTGTAGCAAAGGCGAGCCATTAAAAAAAAGCTGACATGACATTAGAATTCTTTGAGTTTCTGAAGCTGATTGATTTCAGGCATCTTTGCTTGCGTGAATCCCAAAGTCTTGTTTTTTTTTATTCACATTTTTATTCATTTGTATCATTTTTTAAAAAGTAGCAAAGGAGACATGGAAAACTTTTTTTAGTTTCTGTGAGTCAGAAATAGAAGATAACTTTGCACAGTTTTGGCAACCTAAGAAACAAAATTGGTAACTATTAAAACAAAAAAAGAATGAATTGCAATAAAACTGAGAAATGACAAAATTGCAATAAATACTGTACATTAACCCAACGTTTGCCAGAATGTCACATAAATGTTGTAATTTTTTTTTTCAGTTACATACGACCGCAAAAGTGTTGTGTTGTGTGATCTAAAGTAAAAATTTACATATTTTCACGCATTTCTGTGTTTCCAAGTAGTTGCCAGGAGTCTTCAGCTGGAGTGGTAAGAAACTAGTGGCTGTGTCCAAATTCAGAGGCTGAATCCTTCAAATGCTGATTATGTCACAACAATGTGCTACAGGCTGTCCAAACTCAAAGGCTCCTCCAATAGCTTATATGCCACAGCCATTGATGACGTATTTCCGCTAAAATTCCTGCCACGCACATCCCTTCCACTTCCTGCTTACTGCCTTTGTTTTTAGCATTAGCTGCTAGTACTAGTCTGTGAAAAAGTCACAAAAGTTAAAGCATCTGTGATCTACTGGTATAAAACGTGAGTTCTGTTGTGTGCCGTTGTGTCCATTAACCAGTAGATACGATCGAGTAGTTAGTTTTTATCCATTTTCCTCTTGATGAGGAGGAAAGGTGACAGCAGTGGATCGTAGCAATACAGGGAAAACTTAGCTACAAAAGCTCACGCTCGCATTTGTAATAGGCTAACCTGAGGATATTCAACAGCCAGCGTCATAAATGAGAAGATGGAGGTTACAAAAGGGAGATATACAATTATCCCCCTTTACTGCCAAGACGAGAGAGGAAAGACCACCTCCAGAGGACAGCTAGSAGGAAACTAACAGCAGCCAGAACAAAGGTAGGTGTGGGTGTGTGCGTGCGTTTGTGTTATACAGAGTATGAAATTTTTAGGCAACTTTGTCATGAGTTTTGTGCAAAAGTAAAAACTTGTTACAGTGTATATTACAGCGTAGACAAAACCCGAGCGCTGAGCATGTTACAAAGATGTTCCTGAACCAGTTCCAAAAAGAAGAGGATTGCTGCAACTTCCGCAGGTTTTAAAATGTTAAAGTACTATGTTTTATAAAGTTAAAATGCATGTTGTGCTGACAGACAATTAATTACCCGAGGCTCTTTTCCAGATTTGGGGGAGGAAGCCATATATTGAATAGATTCCAGTCATACAGCCTCTCAGACATTTATCTTCTATATAAATCTAGCTTGTTTCTCAAAGCCTTGATGACACATCCCTTAGATAATGATGAAGAGAAGGGAAGCAGTTTAGCCCAGATACTTTTCCCCCCGGTTCCTGTTTGGGACCTTAAGTGTTTTTTGGAGGGGGGGCACTAATGCTACATGAAATGTAAAGAAAGTCCTTTTGCCTGAGCGAAGAGCGAACCCTTTGATGCCAACATATATGTCATGCACATTTGTTGTGGCCAACATTTTGGCCTCAGTCCACATTTTCTGGTTTTCCTTGTACTCCACTTCATGGGGTAGTTTCAGGTGATTAAACAAGTTTGTAGTGTTAGCGTTAGCTCTGCATTAGTATTAGCCCAGCATTGGCAAAGTAAGTAGTTAGGTTGATTGATGATCTGTAAGTATAATTTTAGGACACAGGGTAGGGCTGCGCGGTATATGCGGTAGACGGTAGAACGGTATGAAGTTGGCCTGCGGTAGAAATTTACCCTCTACCGTCCTAGCGTCATTACGTCATCGCACCTGTGTGAACAGGGCTGCGAGTGCAGAGACAACTGAGCAGGAGGAGTTCGAAACGAAACGGAGAAATTATAGCGTTTTAAAACGCGTAAAGAGAATAAATCCCCAAAATTTCCCCCTCCCAGTGTAGAAAAGTTACGTCAGGATCATTCCCCCCGCCCCGCCCC